TTGGGGCATACAAATCACATTTGCAAGCTACATTATTGCAAGAATGAAGCATTAGAACAGGCATAGGCAAACTCGGCCCTCCAGATGTTTTGGGACTATAGCTCCCATCATCCCTGACCACTGGTCCTGTTAGCTAGGTATGATGGGAGTTGTAGTCCCAAAAAACGTCTGGAGGGCCAAGTTGGCCTGGGCCTGCATTAGAGGCATCTTTTGTGAGTTAAAACTTTTATCCTACCACTTTAGCAGCTGGGATTTTAAGAGAGATGCCCGCAATTGTCAAATATTGTATTAAAGCCATGAGCATCATTACCTACGTTGAGTATCCTCTTGAATCATAGAATTGTAGAGTTGGAAGGGATCCCCAAGGATCATCTAGTCTAACCCCCTGAAATACAGGAGTACAGAAGTGTCATAATAACAACATCTTATATTTCTTCCCTGAAGCTCAGGGAGTTGTCCCATTTTTCCCCACTGATAGGTGGCAGTTTTCTCAAGGCCACCCCAATGATCTTCATGCTTGAATGTGGATGTGAACTGCTCCTTAAAGCCATTCTTGATATAGTTTTGGCCTGGAGCATCTAAAAAAAAGGGGGGGTTGTAATTCAACTGCCCAGAGCATCTGCTATGATATTATCTGACCTCGGTTCTCTTCATGCTAGAATTTGAAAGGCAATTGAGAGAAAGTACTCTTTCTCTAGAGTGTTGAGATAGTTAAATTTGTCCCCATTTTGCTGAAGAAAACTGAGTAATCACTTTCTTCAATCCAGTATTTTCTTTGGGCACTGGAGGGATTGTTTTCTGCCACATCAACCTCCTTGTAGGCTAAGATCTTACTCAGAGGCAGACCTCCTTTAGGTAGCTCCCCCACCCCCACCCCTTTGAGGTGATGTGAGTGGCAACAAGGGACAGGGCATTCTTGGTTGTAGCACCTTGCTTGCAGACCTCTCTCCCAAGGGTGTCTCACCTGGCAAATGTCTGTTAGCAAAGGCAGTTTTATTTGCCTGGCAAAGGCAGTTTTATTTGCCCAGGCTCCGGTTGATCTCAGGTGTATTTTCATTTCTGCTGTGGTTGTTTTTAGAGCTGCCCCTTACTGTTGTCAGCTACTGCATATTGGTTATTTTACTGTGCTTTTTGACCTATTGTCACAGTAAACTGCCCTGTGATCCTCAGAGGAAGGGCAACATATTTAATAATAATAATAATAATAATAATGTAAACTGCCCTGGAAATGTTGAAAGGTGGACCAAGCATTTATTTAATATTTAATTAATATTTTAACAAATGCGCTTTCCCCTGCTTCTTCTCTTGGGCTGTCATAGAACTCTTGGGCTTCCTTTCCTTTAAGCTGACATAAGAATGGGCCTGGAGCTGTATCAGCCATGGAGAACCCCTTGGGTGTACAAGGATTGTGCTCGATCCTTTGGGAAAGTCATTTGACGTTTCACACTTTCACAGATGAATGCATAAGTATGTAACAATCATGGCTATGAAGACTTCGGTCCCTCTTTTTACTTCGGTTTATGACATCCTGTGTTAGGTTTTCTAGTTATACATCAGCAGGGCAGCAGTAAGGCAGCTTCCCCCTCCTGTATCTGATACAGCAGTGTGGTGAGTAGAGCTAGCAATCAGTCCAGAAAGCAATGGGCTAACATATGCTTCTTATGTGACATATGACATGCTTCTTGCACTAAAACTGCATTGTGACCTCTGCCCCACCCCTTCAGATGGTATTGTATAGTCTCTTCTTTTTCTTAAACGTCAGTATACAGTGGTACCTCGGGTTAAGAACTTAATTCATTCTGGATGTCAGTTCTTAACCTGAAACTGTTCTTAACCTGAGGTACCACTTTAGCTAATGGGGCCTCCCGCTGCTGCTGCGCCGCCACTGTGTGATTTCTGTTCTCATCCTGAAGCAAAGTTCTTAACCCGAGATATTATTTCTGGGTTAGCAGAGTCTGTAACCTGAAGCGTCTGTAACCCAAGGTACCACTGTATTCTAAATTACTAAGTGCTGCCTGTGTGCAAAGCATTTTGGAATGAATGAATGGTTTCACTGTCTGTAGGGCAGTTTCTGGATTTAACACTCCAACTGTCATTATTTCCCAGCTGAGTTATTCTGCATACTATGGGAGGAAATTTCATGAATATCTCGTAATTAAAGTATGGGAAGAAGCAAGTCTCCAAGCCCCAAGTTTTTCTCTGCCAAATGATTCTATATAAGGGCAACTCCATACTTCCTGCAGCAAATGTGCTTACTGCATTTACAGCAAGAGTATTTAGCATAGCAAATACACAGTGGGTGCACAGCAAACACCTATGTACATGCGCCTGGTGTTCTTGTTGTGGTTTGGCTTCCCAGATACAAGGGCTTGTTTCGTTTCATTTTAGATGCGTGTAAAAGTGAGTTGGTCACCCAACAGTAGTCCTCCTAATTGTGAGCACAGTTGCTGAGTGCTAACGGTCCAGAGTCAGAGCAGAGCCACTAAGAAACAATGGGGGGAATTGGCATAACTGGGAAAGCTGCAATGCTAGCTTAGCAGCTGGTGTGTTGCTGCTACTTACTAGGAGGGAGAAGAGATGGGGAGGCCAGTGTGGTGCAGTCACAATGGCTGAAGTGTCCACACTGTGCCAACCTCCTCACAGCCTCTCTCTCTCCGGGTAAGTGTCAGAAACACGGCTGCTCTGGTGTTCGCTTTGCTGCTCTTTTCCACCAGGCTATCCACTTCTATAGTCAGCAGAGCCTCAAAGGTTTGCACAGGTAAAGATAAAGGGACCCCTGACCATTAGGTCCAGTCATGACTGACTCTGGGGTTGCGGCGCTCATCTCGCTTTATTGGCCGAGGGAGCCGGCATACAGCTTCCGGGTCATGTTGCCAGCATGACTAAGCCGCTTCTGGCGAACCAGAGCAGCACACGGAAACGCCATTTACCTTCCCGCCGGAGTGGTACCTATTTATCTACTTGCACTTTGACGTGCTTTCAAACTGCTAGGTTGACAAGAGCAGGGACCAAGCAACGGGAGCTCACCCCATTGCGGGGATTCGAACCGCCGACCTTCTGATCAGCAAGTCCTAGGCTCTGTGGTTTAACCCACAGCGCCACCCACATCCCATTGCACAGGCACCACCCGCTCTTTCTTACTCCACAAATATCTCAGTGGGGATGGAGCATGTTCAGTAGCCACATAATGTTCAGTATCACTTGGAAAAGAAAAATAGGAATTGGGGGAGAGGGGTGGGGAGGTTTCCTTCTTTGAGGAATGCCTTTCTGGAACCCTGAACAGGATAACGCATGTTAGATGGGACGCTACTGTTGTGGAAATAGGGAGGGGTACAATTTACCTTCCTCAGTATACTGCAACATTTTGCAGCAGTTGACATTTCTATTTTGTTTTTGTTACGGGAAATGCTGGTATAAAATAGCATAGCCAGCACACTTCCAGCATGAGCTAAAGAGCTCCCACCCACAGTTACTCTCTCTTACAAGGGCTGAAAATAGCTGTCAGTTGAGTATCTTAATATTTGCATGTTACAGTATGAATGATTTTAAAAATTAGAGTGCTCAGCATTGTGGTTAACCATATTTGGTTAGTCTGCCCTTTTAGGCTGCTTTCCAAATTACATATTATTCCTCTGTTACACAGTGGAGAAGAAAGCATTATCTTCATTAAATATTAAAATGTATTCCTGTATGATGATCCTGTAATATGTATTTTATTTAGTTAAGAGGAAGATTGTAGTGAACTTTGATAGATCTACTTTTTGTTGGGAGGGGGGCAGAAGGAAAACTAAAGCTTGTTGAAAGCTGCTTTCATCAATATGTTTTAAAAATGTGTCCAGCGTATTCACAAATTAATTGCAGCAAAAATAAACTATCTTATTGATTTAATGCCTGCATGTGTGCTTCACATCTTCCACTTTCACAAAGTAAAGGTGTGACTCGTAAGATTCCTCTTGACTCCTTTCCCATAATTCCATTGTCCAAGTTTGAGGCAGTACTGTATAGCACAAACATTGTGCAAAATGAGACCTGGAAAATGTCCATATTTGTGCTGAGGAAGCAGAAATGCAAATCTACTTCTATAAAATTTATCAGCTTCCCTTCCATCTGTATGTACATTCCACATGAGAAGATATCAAGGGCTCAACTTAAACGAGTTGTATCAAGTGCAGTAGCTGTTCCCAGCTTGCACGGGAAATCACTCAGGGAAATAATTTTTGTTGTCATCATGATGGAGTAGAATATCATTCAATGGCACTTTGCTTTGACTACCGTGGGTGGGACTGTTTGTCACTCTTCACTCAGGTAACTGAAGCAGCAACAGTGGCACAGTACCCTGATTAGAACCAAGTAATAAAACTAAGGTGTTTTCCTAAAGGTCCAATATGGTTGCCTGCACTATTTGATAGATATGTCATAAGCAAAGCTTATGACTGAGTGCAAGGTCTCTTTAAGCAGAGAAACGACTGGATGGGAAGGAAATGAGGCAATGAAGAAAGTGACCTTTTGCAGTTGCAAAAGTGGGTCAGTGCAATTCTACTGAAGCAGAAGTGGGTCAGTGCAGGTGTCTTCCCAAGAGAGCAGGATTCTCTTGAGTCCCCTTTAAGGGATGTGTATGCAACGCTTTTTAAAAGTTTGTCCAATAAAATACTTCTGAATCAAAAGTGTGTGTGTGTGTGTGTGTGTGTGTGTGTGTGTGTGTGTGTGTGAAGCTAGAATTGTTTGCATGCTCTCTTGCCATCCACCCCTGACACGTTGTGTGTATTTGTGTGAAGATAGAATTAATAAAATAAAAAGTTGCTAGTTGGCCCCTGAGTAATATAGCTCTATTGTGTCTTTCTTGTTCTGCAAGGACTGTCTGAACGCTGAACTTAGCTGGGGTCAGTAAGTGTGTTTGTGTTTGTGTCTCACTCACTCACTCATTTCATTCCCCGCCCCCTTAGAGGTAGCCGCCCCCATAGCAGCCGTAGGAGGAAGTGCCTGTTGGTTATTTTAAAAAGGGCTGTCATGATTTGCAGCATGGGGAGGAGGCAGTGGGATAAACAGAGACCTCTCTCTCCAAACTAGGACTGAATCTCTTCAGGGCTGGCAGCCTCTCTTCCTCCTGCAGCTGCTACCCAGGCTCCTCTTCACCTGCAAGAATTCTCCCTTCAGCTTCGGATCAGGTCACAAAGGCTCTGCCCGTCCCCTCCTCTTCCTCCCCCACCCCGTGTTTAACCGTTCTCTGCTTAGGGTTTGCCATTCAGGGTGAGGAAGTGAGGCGCTTTTGAGAGCGGGAAGGGAAATGCTGGATCTCTGTGTGAAATAGCCTCACCCTGTGACTCTGGAGACATGGCAAGGAAATTTAGCCATGGCAGGAGAGCAGGATGAGATCCTTTGCCGGGTGGGTTAAACATTGTTGGAAGCTGCTCAACAGTAGTTTCAGAAGCTTCCGGAGGGAGTGTTATTGTGGGTCAGTTCTGTGTCGTTTGTAACCATAGGTTTGAGGGGATTTGCAGTTAGGGCCGCCTTTGTTTCCAGCTTGGGGGGAGAGTTTTCCATCTTCTCTCTGCTTTGTTATGAACCTGGCCTTGAAAGAGAGAGAGTTTCCTGAGACTGGAGGTGCAAAGTGACTTCATTTTTCTTTTATTGCAACAAACTTGAGGCCAATTTACAAGTTGTGTTTGGATGTCGTGTAGCCTTCAAAGGTTGCCTTTAATATGTTGGAATGTGCTGAGCTGGGTTTCACGAGGCGGGGGGACAGAAGTTAGCACAGGGCAGTGTGCTTTTGCGTTTACCCCTTGGGTTTTTATTTTCACACGTGAGGTGTTTGTATGCACCTGCATCCATGTTGGAGAACCTGAGTTATCTGGTTAGGAGAAAACAATTAAACTGACATTGTGCTGTACCTTAGCAATTTTTTAGTGCTCCATGTGGGGGTTGATTCACACAGACATCTCACTGCAAAGAAACGAGGACCGAATGTTAAGTCACCCATAAGAACTTCACCATCTTTAAAAAAATGTCTTTTGAACCAGATGGTAGTGTGACTGGCAAGTGGATGAGATGGTGTGGACAGCTGCAGCAGTAATAGGACAGGCTTGTCTGCTTAATGCAGCCTCACTGGGTATTTGCTGAATAATGCAGGTTGGCAAGAGGGTGTCAGAGGCCCTGTGTGGTTTATTGAGCAGGGTCCCCAGCAGTTTTTTCAGAGTTTGCATCTGGGTCTCTGTCCCGAATCATAGGGGAGACAGTAGTGGCCTTTTCTTTTTATCAGTAGATCACAGACCAGGGACTGTAGCAGGGCCTTGTTTTTCCCCTGTTCAGATTCTATGCTGGAAAAAAATATGAAAGAAACTCCTTAAAAAATTCCTCCCCATCTTCTGTTCTGTCAAGGGATTTGTGAACCAACAGCTGCTTTCCTTACACAGACCAGTTGTAAAGAGCAAGTCCCTCTGGCGAAGCTCGTCTAAATTTACTTGTGTGAGACAAGGGTTCTGTATTCCCAAAGCGGAGCTCCCACAGGTTAACTTCCTTGTAGCCAAACTATTTAGCACTGTACCCGTAGTTTTCAAGGCTGCCTTCTGCCTTTTAACATTATGCCTGAAATTTTCCAGACTGGGCTTAGGTATCTTAAGAATGCTTTCGTCTTCTCAAGGTATTGTGTGCTATGGCAAAATGTGAAGATGTTATACAAGAAGTAGTTTCAAACTATACCCTGTTTAAAGCATGCCATCTGGCAATCTATATGTAGAGTGACAAACGGTTTGTGTCATGCAATTCTTTCCATGGCTTGGATGAAGTGACTTTCCTCCATGCCACAGCAAACCTGAAGATTTAGAGTAGTGGCAAAAATGGTCTGTTCTGAATGTTGAGCTGTCGCTTTCTAAATGGTGGAAGCCAACATGTGGAGTGACTTAAAATGGCCCCTATATGGCAACCATAAACATGTACGCATGTCATAGGAAAGGACTAGACCAACAGAGGGTACCTGCTGACCAAACAAAGAGCAAGGTGTTTATGAACCCCAACTCCTGACATTTTTACTAGGTAAACTAATAATGCCATTCACCTTCCTAGTCGACAGGTGATCGGGTTTTCACAGCACTTGACCTAGCCTAAGAACCTGGAATAGCCAGTATTTTCCTGCACGATGCAGGGTGTTTAATGAGTTTTGGCCGTCTCAACCAATTGCTCCAAGGTTGGTCAGGCTCCATAATAACGTTTTGTTCCAACCAGCAGTCAAGGCTTCACAGTTGAGGAGCAGATGTGCCCAGGCAGTCATACATGTATAAATTTACTTATTGCATATTTGAAAGAGATGGTAATATTAAAGCATGGAACAGCTCTATTTTTACATAATTTGAAAATACGTCAGCCCAAAGGGAGAGGTCTCTTTCCTCTTGGGCAGGCTGGATTTCTTTTATGACTGTAATGCTTGACATTTCTGTGATGACCTTTTGGTTTTGAACCAAAAAAAAAACCATGTCTGAATGTCAAGGTGGGAGGGGGCACTATAAAAGATGTTACCATAGTTCCAGTTTAAAGTTTAGTAGGCTAATACTTCTGGCAAGGAAAATGTCAGAATAATGTACGTTGAGGATGTACATCAAACACAAGTGGGTTGTTAAGGGTTGAGAACACCACACATTCCTTTATTATTATTCCTGAGGGTGTTCCCTTACAGTTTTGGATTCTTATGTTTTCTGTCATTCAGATATATCTCAAATGGATCCCCCGTAAGTTATATTTTGTCTTTGGAGGGTTATGCCCTTAAAAAAATACCAAAGTACTCTGTGCCATCCCTTTAGAACCTTGGGAATAGTGGGGTCTCTCTGTTCAGTTCTTGTGAGCTGAGGTAAAAAGGTAAAGGTACCCCTGCCCGTACGGGCCAGTCTTGACAGACTCTAGGGTTGTGCGCCCATCTCACTCAAGAGGCCGGGGGCCAGCGCTGTCCGGAGACACTTCCGGGTCATGTGGCCAGCGTGACAAGCTGCATCTGGCGAGCCAGCGCAGCACACGGAACGCCGTTTACCTTCCCGCTAGTAAGCGGTCCCTATTTATCTACTTGCACCCGGGAGTGCTTTCGAACTGCTAGGTTGGCAGGCGCTGGGACCGAGCAACGGGAGCGCACCCCGCCGCGGGGATTCGAACCGCCGACCTTTCGATCGGCAAGCCCTAGGCGCTGAGGCTTTTACCCACAGTGCCACCCGCGTCCCTTATGAGCTGAGGTACATGAATATTAAATGGTGCTGAGAGACTATGTTTTTCACTTCAGATTTTGGGGTGAAAAGCTGGATGGGGATTGTTCTTTGTGCTGTTTTACTGCTATTCACAGCCCTCATCAGCTGCTATTTTGGCACCACTCTTAAAAAAATCTAACTCCTTCCTTCAAATTTAAGAAACAGTGAAGTTTTCACAAAGCCAGTCAGCTGGCTTGTTATGATTTAAGAAAAATAAGAACAACAACAACAACAATAATAATAATATAATATTATTATTATTATTTCTACCCTGCCCATCTGGCTGGGTTTCCTCAGCCACTTTGGGCGGCTTTCAACAGAACATTAAAAACAGAATAAAACTTCAAACATTTAAAAAAACTTCCCTAAACAGGGAAAGAGCAGAGTGTATATTTTTAAGTAAATAAAATAAATAACTTATAATCTAGCCAAAACTAATTGACTAAATGATGACTTAACTTGTCTTTGTGAAGCAGAGCATCTTTAAATGATGCTGAAGAAGCAGACAATTGGGGCTGCAATGCAATCAAGCTACAAAATATATGGAGAGGCGAGTGCTGAAGGGAGATCATGTATCTGCTTATAGCGCACCCAGTGTTGTGGCCAGTCGGTTTGGGAAGTGGGTGGTCGCGTGTGTTTGTATGGAGGATTGAAGATTTCTAGCACCTTTTGCACTCCCCCCCCAAAAAAAACCCAAGGCAAATGGGGATTGCACTGTTTCAGTGGGAGAATATATTTACAAAACACACACATGCACACTTTCTGTCATTTCAGCTCAGTCACTTCAGCCATTTGGGCATATCAGAAGTTTTTAATGAGAGTAACGAGGAAGGACCGTAGCAGATGGTAACATAAGAACAGGCCAATGGGCCATCTAGTCCAGCGTCTTGTTCAATAGAAGCCTTTGAGAATCCCATTAGCAGGACCCAGAGTGCAAGAGTGCTCTCGTTTCCTGCAGCTCCAGCAACTTGTATTCAGAAGCAAACTGGCATTCAGAAGACCCAGGTTCAATCCCTGGCATCTCCAAGCGTGATGGGGAGAGAATACTATCTGAAACCCCAGAGAGGAGGAGCTGCTGCTGCTGCTGCCTGTTGATGTAGGCAGCACTGAGCTTAGATGGACCAATGTTCTGACTCAGTATAAGGCAGCTTTCCTATGTTCCGGTGAGCTAAATATGAAAGTTGCACCATTTGACCTTCCATCTTGTTGCAGATATGGGGCGCTGGGCTATAGTTATTTAGCATTTCCCATTTCATATCTGGATGTGTTGAGAGCAACTCCTTCTTTCTTGCTTCTCATGTTCCTTCCTGCCATTTAAAACAATATGCAGGGGTGGGCCCTGGTGAGTAGTAGGTCCAGTTCAGCCCACAAGGGCCCATTTTCCATGAACGCACTATGCAGCATTGCTTTGCTTGTCTCTTCTGCTTAGAGTGCAGCCTTCTAACAGTTTATTTTAGTGTAAATAGCATTGTTTAAACATGGCAGTGAATGCATTTTACGGCATGTTTTCCCCAGTCTAGATGGTTATCTATGTGATGTTTGTGTGTGCATGAATGTGAAGAATGTCTTCCTTTCTGCCAGATTTGGGTAACTAAGTAGTAAGACTATATATCCTGCTGCTGCGCATTAGGCTTGATACACGGATAAGGAACAAAGCTGTGGAACCAGGAATCTGCCATCCCTTGCCTGCTGTGACTGTGTGTGTCTGGTTCTGCATCCCTGGCAAAAGCTTATTAGCATCAGCATAACATTAAGATTGAAGAGATATGGTTACTGGGCAGACTGGAGCCAGCAAACACAAAATGATATTAAGAAGAGCTATCTGCAACTCTTTGAGATAGTATTATCTCATGGCTTCAACTTGCAGAGCAGAAGGTGGTTCTACATTAAATTTCGGAAGTACAGAACTTTCATTGGACAGGGGAGTTGGTAATTTTACACAC